ATTCATCCACATGAATTTATAGTAATAAGATAATTAACATATAGCAACAGGTAGCAGCTATAGAAATTTCAGTAAAAGGATATACTTTACAAATTACCAAGGAGCTAAAAGGTTTTAAGTGGCAATTTCTCAGTTGGGAAAACCAAGCAACCATCTCACACAGTTTCTGGAGAACTCAGCATATCTATGAAAATACAAACAAGCGAATAAGTATAGGTTTAATTGAAAGGGTATATCGGTGACCGAGGCAGGGTTCTCCATTCATTTTTCTGCCCTGGACAGTTCTCCCCATTTCATCTGGAAGGTCCAACTTTTTCAAGATTCAGCAGGCCATTCTGTGCTGTTCAAAGTTAGATACATGTTGTGTTGATGTCTCATTGCTGTCGAGAGAAGTGGGTCTCTGTTTCAGTTCCAGCTGCTGCTGCTCGAAAACCCCGCACAAAAGTTTTACTTAATTTGGTAGGAACATTGAACTTGGCAAAGAATGGGGAAGGAACGGTTGTCCAGTTTTAGCAACCCTGTGAATAGCAAACCTGTGTTTCACTGGCGGAGTGGTTCTGCCCACCTTCCAGAAGTTGTCTAACATCTTCCAAGTTTCAATGCAACACTTCAAGTCTACTCTGAGAGGTCAAACACCTCTCTGCCAAATAGTGACATGAACAACATATTTCGAGATAGCCTCATTTGAAATCGGGTGCAAGTGTAATACATGTGAAAGCTGAATGGGCAAATTTTCCTCCTCTCGCAAGCATACCCCATACATCATTTACATAGAAACTCTGCGAGAGAGAGGTGCAGAATATGCAAATCCACACATATGGCCAAATGTTTCAGTACGACAAGGTCACTTTTAAGTGAAGGGAAGCTGTTTACCAATGATAAGAAAATAGCTTTTAACAAATTCTGAGAATAGGAATGATTGTCATTATATCAGCTTGTCGAAAAAATAGTGTTAACAATTAGTAGTGAAATTAATTTTATTACATATCTGTTTCATCAAATTTAACAAACTATATGTACTGAATTTTAATTCTAGTACTAAGTTTCAATTTATTTCAGTACATATGTTTTCATAACAACTGTTGAAATATTGTAGCTACACAGTTATTCAGAAATGTTTTCATTTCTAAAAATTAAGTTTCTTCAATGCATCAGTGAAAATTGCTGTCTGAGTCAGAAAATATGGATTCATAACTTTACCAGAAAGAGGGGCAAAAATTAACCCCCAACTAAAAGCAACTAATTATATGTACACACCAAACTAGTGTAACAAACAGAAAACTATAAAATTTAAAAGTTAAATAACCTTAAGGATGAAACCAAAAAAAAAACCCCAAACAAAACAGTAAAATAAAACCAGATAACTAAATTGAAGTTTTTAAACAAAAATTAAAAGTTAAAACCAAACTTCACCTTTAAAGTATTAAAAGATTAACATTACCAAATTATATTTTAAAATTAACAGTTACAGCTTTAAAAAAATCAACTTACAACCACTACTTTAAACTGAACAAACAAGCAAATTAAAAAAATTCAATTGCTGAAAATCGAAATTAAGAAACAATATTACACAGTTGCAACGAACCACTCATAGAATTTTCAAAAATACATGCATGTAGAGTAGGCTTATTAAAAGAATGTTTTGTTATTTAGATGAGTAATGTATTTATTCAAGATCCAAACTTATTTTCAACAACAAATGAATACTTTAGAATATATTTCTTAGTCTCTAGAAGTCGCTGGTTGTGTAGTAGTTTATTTTGATGTGTAAGTGAACAGGACCAGCTCTTTAATTCCCATGGTGTTGAATTTTGTTGCCTGACATCAGAATCAATGTGTGGTGTGTTTTTGCACTTCTGCACTACTTTTGAAAACACTACCAGTAAGGAATTTCTTAACATATTGTACGCCGGTAGCATCTGAGACAATTAAAGTCTGAGCGCCGGCACTGGTGTCGACCGCCTAAAGTGTGTGCGCCGGCATGATTCGCTTGTTGACGACTAATGAATAGGTGAAGAAAATATTTAAAATTTTATACATTATCGTAAAACACTAAATTTTGGTTTGCATATTTGTCATATGCAATTTAACAATAACAAAAAATAGAAGCAAAAATAAAAAAATTTAATTTATAATTATAAAAAATACACCTGTTTTATTTGATGATTGATTATTACATATATATATAATATAAACAGAAAGGAAAATATTAATATTTAAGGGATGTATGGTATTTTTCAAAACATTTTCCAAGATGTAAAGGTATTAGGCATAGAAAACACATAAAGCACTCTCGCTTCTTTTTTGGTGATCATATTTTGATGTGCGAGGTGTAGGAACTAATACAGAAGTTTGTTCCACACAATTATTCGATACATCTTGAGTACTTGTATATTCCTCAATCCATAAAAGTGCAACAGCATGTAAAAATTTTTCATATTTTATAGTGTTGCCATTTAACTCAACATATAATCTGTATGCAATGAACAATGCGCAATTTAAAGGAAACAAAACTTTATTTATTTATTTATTTATTTGTTGTCTATTTCACTGTTTTCCTCATAATGGAAAACTATGATAAAAACTAATCACCAAATAAAAGAATGTTGCATTATCGCAGGGTTGGCGCTGAAATGAAGACCTCGGAAAATGCGTTTTCGCGGGGCCGGCGCTCAAGCTATAGACTTCGAAACCCGCGTTTTCGGAGGGCCGGCATACAATGGGTTAAGGTGTAAGAAAAAATGGAAATCACAGAGAGCTAGAATTGGGGCTATATAGCAGATGTATTAATATCTTCCAATGGAGCTTGTACAAATCTATAATGTAATATGCTATTTGAGGTCGAGTGTTATTGTGCACCAGGACAATTATGACACTGAGTGCCCCACAGCACTGGTTTTGAATAAGCCATTGGAATTTACACGATGTCAGCATTCATATTCTTCCCTCTGGTATAGAACTCAATGAGCAGAATGCCCTGTCTGAACACCAAGCACATCACATTCCACTTAAATTTCACTTTTCAGAGATCCACTGTGACACCAATGTGTTGCCTGTTACTTGCTTTTTGAGCTGTATTTTAACCCATGCTTCTTTGCTGGTGATGATTTGGTTCAGAAACTCATTACCAACACCCACCTCACATGCAATTAAAAAAAAGGTGAAGATACTTCATGATGTTATCACAGTCACAAGGAGCAGGAAATCCTAGGGAAGTAGCTGCGAAGTTTTAAAGTGTGAAACAGTAGTTCTGCAAAATTAATTGATGTAGTTGCTTAGTGCCATCTGTAATTAATTACTGATGGTTTTTCATTGTGCTTCTCATCATTCACATTTTAATGACTTTCTGGAAACTTACAGTCAGTGGTGCATCATCTGCTTGCCCATGACACTTGACAGGACTTACAAGCCCATACATCAGACAGAACTGACAGTGAGTTTCAATTGGGGCTGTACTTCGCACATTCTAAAACTTGATCAAATGCTGAACCTTGCAGTTGGCAAGAGATGAAATGAGAACCTCCCATCATCAGCTGCTAGAGCTATGCTAATGTGAGCAGTCAGGAAATGCCAAGATTGCCATGTCTTGAATCTTTCACAGTTGCATATTACCCTTTGATAACAACATAGCATTATATCTGGGGATGTGAGGGAAATTTTCTGGGCATCTCTTCAAGCAAATAGTAGCTTAACACAAATAATAAGTAGGCATGATAATTATAGTCTGTGCTTGAAATACAATTAAAGGTTTTTTATGTGCATTTCATCAGAGTGAGTATTTAGATGTTCTGTTTAAGTTTTCCTCAATGGACTGAAGTAGTTCATAAAATATTCTGCAGTTTCATCTTTGCTTCACATGAAAAGAGTGCAAAATGTAGGAATGCTGGAATTAGATTGACCAAATAAATGAAACAAGAATCAAGGTGCGTTAATCAGAAAGAAAAAAAAAAAAAATACATTATGTACCTGCCTTCCATTTTGGCATGTGTGTATGCTTGCTTATGTGCATGTGTGTATGTGCATGAGGGGAAAGTATTGTGTGTATACAGAAACAGGTCAAAATGCATTGCAGGTGCAGAATGTAAAAGTACTAAAAATGGTTATGATTTTAGTTGAGGTTCTCATTGTGATAAACTAAAAAATAAGCTGCTAACTAAAAGTAGCAGTAGAAAAAGTATTTTTATAAAGTGATGAGCACAATATTTATGGAATGTTAAATATAAAAAGATCTGCAAAGCTTTCCACAAGTACATTAAGTTGAAAAGCCAGGCCACATTGAAGTTGCTGCCGTCTTAGAGGCATTTTTTCACACTTAATAAACAGTAATTGTTGATTACTGTTGGGGGGTGTTCTGTGCTACACCTATTTAAAGGCAAGCTGATTAGTATAATAAGTGTGAAACTACTTGTATTTTTACACCACCCATGTATTATGATTTTGTAGTTTGTTTCGGTGTCCTCTTCCAGTGGCATGAGCATGCCAACTGAGTTTAGTTAAACATTAGCGGAAATGTGCTGCTAAACAATTCAGACCAGAGTAGAAGGGAAGCAAAACAAGATGTTTTATCACAACTTGGGTAATAAGTTATCAAATTATTAGAGCCATGTAGAATTTATAATTCCATTTCTAACAGTGAAAAGAGCTAGTAGATATTCTTGGGATCACCTTCTCTCGTATGTAAAATAAGTTTGAACCAATTTTTCTTAGTCTTTCTCAGAGGCATTTCATCACAGGCCATAATAACTTAAAATCATTAGTAATGTACATCATTAGTAATGTAATCTTCATCAACATTAAAACAAGTGACTTAAGTATATTATCAGAGCACATTTTAAACACTTTATTTACCACTTGTATGTTTAAGTTATTGAATCCTCATTATTAATTCTTTATTTTTTGTTATAAAATAGGTATTATTTTAAAACTTCATAGTTTTGTAACTTTTGAGTAGATGTACAAGGTTTAAATTTATGGTTTAAAAAAAATTTGTTGTTGTTTAGCTTTGAAAAATGAAGCAGAAGACAAAGAAAAGGCCGCTTTATCAGCTTATAAATCAGTGAAAGAAGGTAATTTCTCATAAATTAGAAATTTGAAGCAAAACGTTGGTAAAGTACTCTCTCTCTCTGTTTTTTTTTTTTAATGCTAATTTGTATTTAATAACTGTAGAGCTGGCAAGCATTTTGTATTTAATTTGGAAATCATTAATTCTTTATCTAGTATAAAATATAACCAGATGTTTCATGCCTAGTGAAATTATTTTGTAAAGAAAAATTTTAATTATTTCCAAATTGTGTAGTCATTTACAGAACTGTCTCTATGAAAAATGCTTATTCAAGGCCTATTTTTAATTCCAAAAATTTGCAAAAATAAAGACTGAAAGCTAATTAATGTTATGAAATATTTAATTTATAATTCATATGCCCTTTAGTGTAGTAGAATATGTTAAACTTAGTAAAACTATTGTTGTATCTTTTTCTTCATCATGTAAAGTGAGGCTTTTGATAGCTATTTGAAAACAGTTTATTTCATTATTGTATGCAATAGTAATTATTGTGTTATAATAGCATTTTTTAAAGATAGCATAGCTTCATTTAAAAAAAAAAAAAAAAAGGTCATATATATGCTCTAGTTTTACCAATTTTTTGTGTGGAAGTATCTAATGTCGGCACATTAGTTTAAAAGAATTTTTTTTATCTTATGAAATACTTTGTACACATTTAAAGACAACCTATTAAATGTGATGTCAGTATGCTGGCATCACCCATGTGTTTTGATATCTTCGAGTGGGCTTGAGAATGCAAACTGAGCTTTGTTTATCGAATTCCTCTTCTTTATCTTTAATTGTAGCCAATACATCATATTTCATGGTCTGTTCACAAAGGTAGAGTCTTTCAGTCAGCTTAATGTATTAATTTCACATATTATCAACATATCAGTTACCTAACACTAGTGCAAAAAAAAATCTAACAATGTCAAATCATGCTATCGTGAATAGGCAAAATCAGATATTGTCTATCTACTTCAAATTCATCTTGAAATTCAACTTTAAATGTTGTTCTGTGATAAGGCTTTTCTGATAAATTCCCTTTTCCGTTATTTATCTATTATTTTAAGCTTTAAATGGGATGTCCATATAGCATTTTCTAAGAGTGCAATACCTTTGATAAATATGGTCAATGCAGACATAGTAATTTTTTACAGTATTTCATTTTCAGATGTATAGCAAATTAGTAAGAAAATTTTAGGCATGAAAGTGTACTTTTATGTTTCATGCATAAACTTTTCTTTGATGGAAAAATATAGGATGAGAATCATTCTCATCCTACATTTTTTCATCATTAATTTGCATCTATTTGCTTCTTATAAGTATATTTTACGTACATCATGCATTACCATTATGCATTAGAAAAGAAAAAGTACATGGAATTTATTAAATGCTCCTTGATGCTGTAATTATGCCATGTTTTAATACCTGTCATATGTAACAGCTTGCAAATTTATATTTTAAGTAAATTCTCAGATGACAACTCTACTTTTTTGTTTTGGTGATTTGGTATTCTGAATAAATTTAGATTTCACTTTTATTGAATTATTATTTCTTATTTAACTTTGATTTAATTACATTGCATGTAGAAGAAATAAAGAAAGAAGAAGAAATGGAAATGCTTCGTCATCAAGAAGAAGAGAGACATAGTGCAGAGGAAGCATTCCGAGAGCTGGATATTAATCAGGATAGCATGTAAGTTATTCTTGATTTATCATGTTTTGTGTTTGAAGAAGATGCATATAGGAAATTTAAAGCATCTCTTTTATCCTTTTACAGGTAAATGTAGTTAAAATAAATCTGTTTGTTTTATTATGCATGCACAAAAAAATTTTTAATAGTGTGTATATTTCTATCAAAATGCAAAATCATTGATCTGATGTTTACTTGAAATTGCATAGAAAGAGATCCATGAAATGAATCTTAATGCACGTACTATAAAAATTAATTGAAAATATCTCTCCGGTAGTTGATTTCTTTCGACTGTCGTAAAGAGAACATTCTGAATATTTTGTTTATTTCTCTTTGTTGTTTCTGAAAATTCAAACTATCAGTATTACCTCAGTTCAGCAAATAAATGTATTAATAGTAATTAGTCTTAAGTAACTTATAGAAGTATCTTTAGATACCTTCGGTAATTTGTATAAAGCTATAGGAGGAATACTTAGTTGACTGTGTCTCGGGACAGCTTTCAATGAAGCATTTAGTGGCTTTATATGAAGATAAAATTGTGAAGGCCAGAAATTATAGCTTAACTGCTCGCCACTGTAATTAACCATATATAATTGGCCAGTGTGAGCCCTTCTGCTGTATATCTGCCTGTGATTATTTCAGTCATGCTACATTTGTGAGGCTTTAGTTCAAGGGCAGCTGATAATATAACTATTTCTGAAATACTGTGTCTTTCTTTTGTGTTTAAATGTTTTGACTGTGTAGATATTGGCCTAGCACTAGAACAGTAATTATAAGTTAAAACAGTGTGTATTAAAATAAGATCTTTTTTTTTTTTTTAATTTTATTTTTTCTCAAATTATAACATTTAAATTTCAAATCTAGAATTTGTCAGATTTGTAATTTATAATTATTAACAATTTATATTGTGTTTGTGTGATAGAAAGTGTATTTAAAATGGAATAATATTATTTTAGCTTAACTGTTCAAGAGCTTCAACAATTCCAAAAATTTGATAGCAATCGGGATGGTATTGTATCTGAAGATGAAGCTAAAGTATGTATATTTTTGTGTAAAAAATAATGAGTTGTAAAACATGATTGTGATGCATGTCTAATTTCTCTCTTACTGTTTTCTGATTTTCAGTGCTTATTTTCTAGACAGAAATTGAGATAACAAATATAAATTTTTAAAAAGTGCACATGTATTTTTCTTAAATAATACGTAAGCACTTAACAGATGAATTATTTAAACTTCATTAAAACAATGTCTTGCAGTATGGAATAAATGTATTTTTTTTTCCTTTTGAATTTACTTCTGAAAATTAAACTAACAAATAATAATATCTAGCTTCTCACTAAATGTCATATGTGGCAGGAAAGTTCAGTGAATTCGAACATATGTGCAAAATATCTCGTATGTTACTGTAATAGTTATAAACCTATAGTTTTTTTGCCTGCCTTTTTTTTGACATATCCACAATGTTTTCATAGTACATTAACTTCTTAATATTGCAATAAATGAATTTACTGCTTTTTTAAATGTGTCTGTCAATTTTGAAATGGATTCTTTTGAACAGTTTCATTTTCAGCATTTTATTAATTTTGTCGTAAAGATAAATTAGACCATATTGCATTTACATGAGGAAAAAACTGCAAAACAAAATAATTCCTAGCAGTAGGCCAATAAGGTTTGCAAAAAACCGTATTAAGCATTACTTAAAGTGTTGTTTCATTACATCTGCTAGTTCAGTATTTCATAGACTATGCAAATAAAAATGCACATTACCTTTATTTATGGGCATGGATCAATGGTCAAATATCAAGAAAATCAGCACAGTGAAAGTCAAATTGGATGATCTACCAGGATTTCATAGCTTTAACTTCTCAATGTATTAAGTGCTTAAACCATTTTATTCTTTCTAATTTTTTTAGCATGAAATATTTAAAAGTTATTTGTAAATTAATTTCTTTTACAGTTTTACCTACATATGAAGGATTCTCTGGCTATGGATGAATTTGTTACAACTGGTTGGATGATAATGAAACCAATATATTTAATGGACAAGGTAATGTTTAAATGCAGTAATTGAAATACAAATATTATGTGCTATGAGATCTGTAGCTGTGAAGTCTATTTCTCCCCGTAGCATTCTGTTCTCTTGAGTGATAAAATTTTGGACCATCTCGTGAATTAAACTCCTTAAAATTTTAACTTGAAATTTATTTCAGTTACCAGATAGTGATGTTTCTAGTACTGAAACTGTAAGTCAAGAAATTCCTGAGGTAACAGAAGCTGAAAATGAGCAGGAAGAGTCAGATGATGAAACATACAGCCCCGAGGTAGGGTGTTAAAACTTCAAATCCATATTAATCTTTCCTCAAATATTACTTAAAATGTATATCTTTTAAATGTTCAGTTACATTCTATGTATGTGTGATGATGTAGTTTTTGCGAAATGTAAAATGAAATCACTTTAGTCATCGTCAAGAAAAACTGCTGCACAGATGACTGGGGGAAGAATCACAACTTGTTTGATCTTTGAAACATCATTTTTATTTTGAACAAGAAAAATTCTTCAGAAATATATTTTCCCTTAATATGGTACTAGACTAGGGGTGCTAAACACCCCCTCCCCCCCGCCCCGCACACACACACAATTTCTATTTATGCAGTTTACATTTTTAGTAATAGAAAAAGGAGCTTTGAAGACGCGTGACTTTCCTAGGCAAAAAGTTATATGTAATGACTGCAGTTATTTATAACTCGGAAAGTCTTGGTTTTAATCCTGAGCAGCATTTGGGCTAATGATTTTGCAGTGTAAAGAAATTGTATGGAAAGTGTGATGTAATATGCAGCAGAGTGATGCAAATTGGTGTAGATTGGGCAGGAATATGTTTAATTAAAAATTACATTTTCCTCTTCAAGAGAAAAAAAAAAAGAAATAGACTTGGTGGGAGGAAAGCCTTTTGAGAAAAACAGCATTAAAGTGTTAGTAAAGGAAGAGAAATTTTGTACAATACTTAGTATCAGTTGCAATCAGAAAGCAAATGATATGCTTCAGTCACATATTTAGATTTCACTATGCCCTGTCTTTTATTTCATGAACTTTCTCATATTTGAATATAAAAATATAGAAACAATTTAGAAATATAATATGTATATTGAAATGGAATTTAAAGTTCAATTTGAAAGTCTGAGTGATAAGTTTATAAAGTTCTTGAAATATTTTTGAAACTTTTCCTCCACATATCTTGAATTTGGAGTATCAACCATTGAGAACATCAAGAATTCTTGAGAACACATTATGAAGTTTATTATGAAGTCAATTGAAAGTCTCACAAAACTGTGTATTATAATCAGCATGAAATCAAAGGTTTCCAGTATATTATTATAAAATTGCATTTTGTGAAATGTAAAACAAATTCAGATTTTGTTATTGTAAAGCAATGTAATACTTATTATACAAAAACCAACAAAAGATAACATAAACTTTTGATCAAAATGGCAGGTCCTCTACAAGTGATTCAGTATTACTACGTGCTGATAGCCGTGGGATGCTTAAATACAATTACACATGGAAACATCTGTTTCCTATAAAAGGTAACTGGTGTTTAGTATTGTTTGAAGAACTCAAAGTTTCAATTTAGTTATATGATCATAAAAATTCTTTTACACTACACACTTGTAATTCAAATAAATATACAAAAATTAAATTTCAAATTGAGACAGAAAACTTACATCCTCAAGTTATGTTACAGAAATTTAGTAAAAAGAGTCTAACATTACCCAACAGTAATATTAAAAAAAAAATTTTTAATGTGTTGTGTGTGCATGTAGCAGCACTTCATGCTGAAACTATGATCAAAGGAATGTGACGGATGAAAAAATACTTCTACTCAGGCAGTTCATGACCATAGCCAACTGTCCTAAAAAATTTTAATTTGGCAATTAGAAGTATTCCTAGGGGGACAGCGGGCGTGTGCTATCCCTGCTTGTATACTCCCTAAGGAAAGGATACATAGTGTGAAACCTTGGGTCAGTTTATATCAAAATAAAATGTAGTCTTATAGAATCTGGTATGATATCCGGATTGCAAAATGTTGGAGGGTAGAGTTTTTCCTCTCCTCATCTCCGGGCTTAGGGGGATGTGCACAACGAATTTTGAATGGGAAAACCCTGTTAATGACTTGATCAGGTTAAAAAAGTTTTAAGGAATTTTGAATGAATAATTTGGAAAAAAATTACATAATTTTGAATAGCAACAGGTATTCTACTACTTCTTATAGTTAATGTCAATTCACTTGTTGGGTTAAAAGTTGAGTCTGGTAGAATGGACAATTTCTGTTTTTTTTTTTTTAGTAAAGGAATTTGATTTATCTATTTCAAAAATTAGCTTCAGAATATTGTCAAAATTTTATAAGGGCCTGAAAATAGAAGAGAAAGTTTGTTAGGATATCGAAATTCCTCATACATCTCTTAATCACCAAGTTTAAATTTACTTTCTTTAAAATGGAAGTTATGTCTATTTTTACTTACATTATGATGATAATTATCAGATCATTTTTGACCTGATCATCAGGTTAATTTTCATAGCTTCAATTGGTGGATATTTTTGATTAAGTGATCATAAGGCAATTTTCCATACATTATATAAAATGGTGGGAATTGTGTTTACAGAATGTGGCATGTTAATGTACTCTTCAGTAACCTGAGATAACAATTTTATCCATGCGAAATTACCCTGATAGAAATTAAGTTTACATTTTAATCTAGTTATAATAATTTGAGTAACTCTTTCTAATTTACCATTAGCTTGTGGTTTTGTAGCAGTAAACAATTATGCAACATTTTTGTTTCTAAAAAATACTTAAATTTTAAAGAAGTCAAAGCAGCATATCTATCCCTATATAAATTTTCTTTGGGACCTGAATTTGAAATATTTGCCTTAAACATTGTGTATCAGTAGTTAAACTTTTAGAAGCAAAAGTCCATATATATCAAGTAGCATGATCTGTAATAATGTGAATGTACTTTGTAGTAGATTTAAAACAAACCACCAACAGTATCAATAGGTAACAGTTCAAAACATTCACATACAGATGGTAATGCTTGCATAAAACCAAATTTCTTTTATTTAATTTCCTTGTTAAACTGATATACTTCACAATGTTTACAATAATTTCAACTATCTTGTAATACTTCTGCCCAATACTACTGAGGTAAGGATAAATTTAACATTGAGAAGATGAATTTAATATGAGCTTTTTCAAGTAATTAAGTATGGAGAAAGACTGAAATTAAAATTTTGGACATATTTTACTTCTTCATAGTTAACACATAGTTAATTTTCTTGTACTTAGGTCTACAAACATTATCTAAAGTTTGATATCTGTAATACCTAGTGAAATTTTGACTATCTTTAATTTCCTCTGATGATATTGAATTAGTTTGTACACTTGAATGTTGGAAAATGGGTTTTCTTGTTAACATATAAGTTTCAACATTAGTAGAACCTTGGGCAGCATAATCATTATATGCAATAAAATGGTTACCATGCAAGCAGTAATACAGTAATAAATTTATCAATAACATCTGCAATAATTAAACATTCTAATTCAGTACTTGCCTAATTTCTTAATTTTCGAGAATGGTAACCCATGGGTTGTAAATTACGATCGGCATGAAAGGCATGCAGGGGTCCATTTATATGATCATCTTTGAGTGAATTTGTTACTGGACCTATAACTCTTGTATAATTAGGAATATATTTATGATACACATTAATACTTACAATAAATCTGTGTAATTCTTTAACATTTTTAGGATATTTTAATTTTAAAAAAACATTAGTATTTGCATTACTGGGCTGATATTTCCCTGCTTGAACTTCATATCCTGAAAAATTTATTTTTTCTTTAGTGAAATCGTACTTTGACTGTCTTAATTTTTGTATTATCTTTTTCATATACCTCAGATATTATTTTGAGATGCTGTAAGTAATACCTGTTATTTATTAACAATTTTAAAATGAGTACGAGTGGCTAACTTTAACAATATATCAAACCATATATTTAGAATGTTCTCAACAGTAATACCTATAACTCTTTAATTCTAAAATGATTAACCTTAATAATATTTGCAATTAACCAACATTTTACTAAAAGTATCAATTTCTACAATATTTGATATAATTTGCAGTTCAGATATTTATTGTTATTAACCCTCTCACTACATACTTTTTTTATCAAAATAGGTTCAAAAATTGCATATTTTTTATTACATATTCCAAATCTTCATATATTTTTACAGTTAATATATACAAAAAATTTTTGTAAAAGAATTTCCCCCCCCCAATATAGAATTAGATCATAGAAAAAGGTTGTCAGAATACTGAAATTGAAGAATAATGATATAAAAAGAAAATTTTGAAAACTAATATTGGTTAAATTATGATTTATTTTATAAAATACAAAGGTAAAACATATATACTAATAAAAATATTTGCATAATGTAATATTTTGTATATCAATTTTGCACCACTGTCGAACGTTTTCAATAGAAACTGAATTTTTAGATTCATCACTATCTGCAGAGGAATCCGAGAAATTCTCATCAGTTTTGCTATAACTATCTTCAAGATACTTGAAAGAAGAGTCAGAACTACTATCAGTGTCGGAAATATCGTCAGGAATATAGGTTATATCACTCGTGAAACGCTTCCTGCCAGACATCTCTGAGCTCTGAATGCCATCTATTAGCCCACATCTAAATAAACAATTAAACATCACAGAAAAGCTGAAAGGAAACCTTGAACGGAGAAAGAGCAGGTTGCACGATTAAAAAGACTGCGGAAATCGCGGGTTGCACAAATTTTGCTACTTTTAAGTTGCCTGTGGAAATCGCGGGATGCGCAGCGAGAGGGTTAACACAAGCAAAAGTAACTGATATCTTTTACTTGGAATCTAAATCAAATCTAACATGTCACCAATAGAATATATGTGAGTACAGGAGATACAAAAAAAAAAAAAAAAAAAAAAAAAATCTCACCTTGCAGGGATTACTGCAGGCATCTAATGATTTCTTGATCGTACTGATAACTAGGCCAATAAGGATTGGGATGAATGATGTTGCTGTATTTTGCAAAATGATTTATTTACCATAGACAAAGTAATATGAACTTCCTTACTTGATGTGGAGAATTTGGAATAGGCAGTGTAATAAGCTAATTAATTCATCAAACATAATGAAGAAAATCGCTTCACAAGGATATATTTTTATTAACATGCACACAAAAATAAATAATTTTTACATATTAAAACATCAGCAAAACTGACATCGT